TGCTTCATGTATTTTTAAAAAAACTACCACTATTAATTGTGCAGCAAGTGATATAGAGATAGCATGTCTGGAAAAGAATTAGTTTGTTTCGCATTAAAGGGTTGTGTCTAGAGACACATCTTTATGTTAAACTGGAAACTCAGGAAATCGAAGAATAGTCACTGTGTCCTGAGCAGTTTAACTATAAATGAACTACAGAACACATATTTTAATATTCCAAAGAAAGGTATTAGGAAATTCTTATCCACAAGTATGCCTTGTGAGCCAAGTCAGGAACGCAGAATGGATTCTGCCAACATTCAACTCCTCAAGCTCCATAAAGGCACACAACAGCTTAATTCCTTTTCAGAAGAGGACACCATCACCCAAGGCTGTAACATACAATAAACTACTTTCTCTGATTTACATTCCCAGCTGTCAGCTATGATTTTCTAACTAGCTGAGATTCAATGTTTACTCTACAGTACTCCACAGAGAAAGTATGCAAGAAACTCATCACATCCCATTGTGACACCAGGAATCACCCTAGAAAAATATTAATATTCTACTGCTTTCACATCAGAAGTGAAACAAAAAGCGAGGAAGTGGGCGAAAAAGGAAGATCTCAGTTTCTTTCTCCCACACACAACCATGCAGGTGAAGAGAGTAATACTCAGGCTTCCTTTAATCTGTCAATAACACAAGCTGAAGCTAATATTTTAGCACTTTGTCTAGATTTAAACCTACATTCTGTGACGCTACACTAACTGATATTTTTGTACAGTTTTGAGTTCAGAAAAATGTTCATATTTACTCACATCTTGTTTGCCAGCCGCAGGGATGTGCAGCTAAGACACGCCCGATCTCCCAAGTTACCTAGGAAAAACACCAATAATTAGCACTAGTTCTGAAATTCAGGAGGACATTCATCTACACAGTGAGTTGCACACAAGTACATGACTTACAAGACCAATCTTTACACAGGAATGGCTACTACTGAAAGCACAAAGATGCTGCTTAACAGCAACTTCCCAATGCGTTGTTTGTCAGCACATTCACACTTTGCATGTTGCCAAGACTGAATTCTGTTTTGCTTTTGACAGTAAGCATGTGAAGTACTGAAGCCCAAATACCTCACCCTATTCCAAGAGAAGTCGAAGCACACGCCTTGATCTTCTTTCTCTCAATCTGTAACCCCAATTTACAGCATAATAAAGAGAAAACAAGTGGGAAGCAATTCTGTAAGGCAGATGAGATGTTCAAGCAAACTGCCTGTGCACATCTGTGGATGTGTGAGGTACTGCTTGCTCTTGAAGACACGTTTCCAAGTCCCTCAGGCAAGTGACTATATTGCAGGAAAACTTCACTGAAAGCAAATGTAATTTTTTAATAGCTCCGTGACAACACTGGATTAGATGATCCAAATGGAGCACTTGCCAAGCATTTAGGATGGAAATAGCTTTTTGTTTGTTTCAAGCAAAACAAATAAAGCATGAGTAGGAACCTAAACATACTTCTGTAGAGACACGAAACCACAACACTTCAGTACATTGCTATCTATTTTGATTAGCACCTGGTAAAAACAGCTCTACCCAGTGATCTCTCTGCAAAGGATAAAAATTGTCTTGAAGGGTGAGGATCTGACCCAAAGCATATGAAAGGTTACCTTTCCAGAAAAAAACTTGTTCCTCAAAATGAATTTTACTTAAAACATGAACTCAGAATCAATCCTAATAATAGCTAATAAAGTGCACAAGCAGGATTGACACCTATATACGGGCATCCTCTATCCAGGTACAGAGACAAGCAGCATCCACTCTGGAAATAAACTGAGGAGAACATCAAATGATAAATCACCTAAGTCATTTCACAAGCTTCAATAAAGGGTCATACTTCAAAGTCTTCCAGCCATGAAAGAAGCATCAGCATTATAAAATGCTACCTAGTGGCTGTACACAATCTACAATCAGTGAAAATCATCCCCGAGGCCACTGGAAAGGAATTAATCATCTCCCTAAACCAACTTTAAAAAATAAATCTTGTATCAACACCTAGCTACAATAACTGAACAGGTAGTTGAGTTATACCAACTGCAAAAAGACTTCTGGACTGATTACAGGAAAATCACACAAGCAAGACTCCAAATGCCTTGACACTTTCTGGTCAATCTTCTCATAATTCATTGTATCCAAAATAAAACTGGAAGGTTGGATGGAGCAGCTATGCTGTGGTTTGTTTCTCCCATCTGGAACCTACTATTTCTAGTCAATCCTAAGAGATAGCAGGATAGAAAGGTCATTTTAGAGGTTAGTGGTACCCTTTTCCACCATTAAAACCAAGATATGGCCTATGACAGAACCTAAAGTAGAAAACTTTATCTGAGAAAACACAGCATCCAAATACAAGACACTTTAATTATTAAGGGAAAAGAGATACCACAAAATCAGGTGGGACAATCAGAAGGTATAGAAGATAACTTATCTGAGGAAAATCTCAACTATCAATCTTAGCATGGATGTCCCATGCTAAGTGGGCTCTGAAGTAATTATAGCAAAAGCTACTGCATTATCAAGTCAAAGGATTTACCAATCTCAAGTTATTTCAAACTCTACCAGGCACTCACTGCCAGTGCAAGTAGAGCCAAAGGAAAAACCCTCTTTCTGCCTTAAAAAGCAAGCCTTGAGAATCTGTGAAGGCATTCTAATACTCTCCAGTATTCAGAGAAAGAACAGCAGCTGAATTTCTAAACCCAAGAGGCATCTCACAGGATGTCCCTGACTTTAAGGAAGAGCTGACCAAAGCAGATAAGTATTCAGTGTCTAGACAGGTAAGCCACAGCAGGGTAATCTGCTTGTCTCACCTGAGTGCCAGGGAGCACACAAAGCCCATGTGCCAAAAACCAGAGTCCTATACTATGAGAGGACACTGCCTGCAATGGACAGGTGCTCCAAGAACAAACAGGGATGATCCAGAGATCAAAACTGGCTTGGAGTTTCTTAGATAAAACTCCATAGGCAGCAAGACACTTTCACTTCACTTACTTTCTTTCCAACCAGACTCATTAACTGTTAAGGAAGGGGTCAAAGAACAGAATTCCAAGGTTGCCGTAAGAAAACACGCTTACTCAAGTGCTTCTTGTTGTACAGCTAACTCAGAGTGTGAAGAGGCACACAGAAACTGTTAATTCCAACTCTGCCAGTTCTCACAAGAGCTCTTTATGTTCTGCAGTGTCTGTTATAACCAAATACCTAAGAGCAAACCAGCCCTGAAATAAAAAACATACTTCCTTAAAAAAGGAGCAAAGTCCATAATCTTTGTTTCTAGGGTAACACAGACACCTAGCAGTGTCTGAACAAGGTGAATGTTGCTTAACCACACTCAACACTGTTCACTTAAGAAACTTGCATTAGCCTTGTAAAAAAGAAAGGCAGAAGTGCCAGAAGAACTGTACGTTGACACATTTGTCATGAAAAGAGAGTAATGAGAAACTTTATTCACAAATTTAATGAAACATCAAAACCGAAGTTTTTAATGTAGAATAGCTATGTACTGTTACTATGTTTAGAGTTTTTAAAAATAAAATGCTAACATGAAGTAAGTCCCTACAGAAGTGTAAGCTTGCAGTACTTAACAGTCTGATCTTGACAGGAAGAACATTTAGGATTCTTAGGAGCACTTAGCTTTAACTTAATCTTAGACTACTTACACGTAAAGCAAAGAAGATGAGCTAAGTAAAGCAGAACACTACACAAAAAAAAGTGCACCTTACAATAATGCACTAATAATAAATTAACACCCCAAATAGAAGTACCGATTGTATCATAACCATAGTGCACCACAACACACTAATTATTTGATTCTATCACGGTATTTCAGCACAAGTTGTCTAAGATTTATAACAACCAGAAGAATCAAATTTAATCCCACATAATTTGAAGGTACATGGATGTGTTTCTTTCCCGTTATAAACTGGACAGCTGAAATACCCGGGGTTTTTTTTTGAGGTCACTGTACAAGCTCAATGTCTTTACAACAGTAGTTTAAAAAAAAAAAGACCATCAAGCAGAAGAAGCTTGATGTGATTACTGGTAACCAAGAGGATAGCCTGGTCATCACAATGGACAAGCATCCTCTTGGCTCAGGACGTTTGCCTGAACCTGGACGTGCCGCCGGCCTGTTCTCAGTGACAGCACTCCAGTGACAGGCCGGGGCTGTGTCAGTGTCAGTGACAGTGACACGGCGCTGCCTGCCGAGCTTTCCCTCATTCCTCACTAACCCCCTGCCATTCCAGCTCTGGGACGTAAAGAGCAACCACAGGCCTCGCCCACGTCTCAAGTTATCAGCTGTTTCATGCCATTAAACTGCACCACCCAGAGATCCTTAAACCGTTAAATTATCTTGGTTATTAATCAGTATCCCAAACTACGTTTCCTTTTTATTTGCCCAGGCTTTCAAAGCCACGCGGAAAACGGCGAGTTCACACATCCTTCCTGACGCGGACTAAGCAAAAAGCCTCTTGTACTTTCTTAAAGGGAAGGAGCACATAAACCAGCGACAACTCCACACCCAGGCTACGCTGCGAACAAGGCAGGCAGGACCGAGACGTAGCTCCTGCACCTTAGCAAAAAGCACGTGTTTTTTCCTTCCCCAGCCAGGCGTCATTTAAAGGATACGCCTGCCCCAGCTGCCCTTAGGGCAGAGCATCCCTTCCAACCACGCTAGCAGGGGAAGCACATGCTTAGAGGCCGCAGGACCCAGGGAGCGTGGGCCGGGCCGGGCCGGGCCGGGGCGGGAGCAGTGCCCTGCCCAGCCTCGGCTCGCCGCCGGCGGGGACTCGGCCGCGGCCCTTCCCTCCCGCAGCGGCCTCTCCGCCCACGCCGGGAACCCCCAGACGCCGCTGCCGCCTCCGCCCTCCCTTCCCGGCTCCCCTTCCCCCTTCGCCCAGGCCCGGCGGGCGGCCCCGGGGGAGCCTCACCGGGCTGTGGCCGGCGGCGCAGCGCTCGGGGCAGGCGGCAGGCGCGGCGCCCGCAGCTCTGCAGCAGCATGGACGCCATGGCGGCGCTCGGCGGGCGGGCGGGTGGCGCCGGCCCCGCTCCTGTCCCGTCCTGCCGCCCGGGCCGCGGCGATGCCCCACACAGGCTCAGCAGCGCCGAGGAGCCGCGTTCGCCCAGCACCGCCCCCGCTGCGCCGGGCACGCCGGGAGCCGTAGTCCTGGAGCGCTCGGTGAGGGCGGCGGGAGCGGGCGGCGGGGATGGCGTCACCGAGGGGCGGGCGCTGTGGTGTGTGTGTGGCCCCGCAGCCGCCCGAGGCGAGCGGGGAGTGGATCCTGGAATCTTCTGTGGGAACCAGAGGCCGGCCCGGTGACGGGGCTTCTACGCTCGAGGGTGGCTCGGTCGCAGCCCGCGGTCGGGAAGGTCACAGCCCGTGCCCGCTGCGAAGGGCGGGGCGCTGGTACCTTCACGGATCTGCCCTGAGCGGCTCACACCGCTGTGGCCATACAGAACGCCAGCCCCAAGTACAGCGGTGCAGCGCCAGATGGTGCTTTCTGCCCTGGCAGCGGGGTCGGGCTGGACGGTCTCCAGAGGTCCCTCCCAACCCTAAGAATCCTGTGATCCCGCCGTGTGCGCCGCAGTGTTCCCCCACGCCTGGGGCCAAAGCCCAGCGTGCCCCTGGCGTTTGGGGACTGCTTGGCAGCAGCAGTTCCAGTGCGCACACGTGTGTTGATTGTGGAGCCAGGAATGCGACATGAAAAAATAGCTTTCTTGTGGAGCTGGGATGTCTTTGATAGGAAATAGCACATAAATCAGGCAGTTGACAGATGTGCCTCGCTAGTGCTGGTTAACAGTTTGGCTACAGACTATCAGTTCTATTGACCAGCATTAGGATCTCTAATCAAATATTTCAATATAGTATTACGTAGTGCCACTCATTTTGCTTACTTTCAACTGTACAGGCAGACACGGCGAATCGCCAGAATCGAACTATGGAAATTATAACTTAACCTGAGAGCACTGAAATTTTAAAAGCTATGTACATGAGGTTTGGATGTTAATGCCCTCCTTGTTCTGGGGGAAAAAAAAAAAAAAAAAAAAAGGGGTAGAAGTTGCTGGAAGTGTCTGTGGACAAGATGGCTGACAGCCCTGCCAACAAGATGGCTGCCCCAAGGACAGGTCCCCAGAGGGATGAGGGTGCTCAGACCTCTCCTGCCTCACAGGCCATTTACAACACCAGGCATTTGACCACCACTACACCCACCTAAACACCAAGGAAAATAGGTGCTATTTAATCCATATTTACCCTTGTATGTCAAGGGTAGCAAGAAGCATCAGGTTTGACCAGAAGCGTGACTGAAACAGCCTCACGGTAATAAAAAGGCAAATGAGTTCTGCAGTTATCCTCCCATGCTTGAGACTTTGCAAATGAAGGAAGTTAATTAGAAACGTTGTAAAGTTCTTTTGTGTATTTAAAGAAAATCCTCAGGGGTTTCTCCTAAGTGTGAAAAATTTAGATGAAGAAGATTCAAAAGAATATGTGAAGATGGAATATGCAATTGACTGAATATTTAAAAAAAACCCATGACACCCTTTTCTCACGTCTTTTCAGTGTGTTGGCTATAGAAACACTAGTGTTGTTTACATTTAATGATAGTTAACAAATTAATTGGTATTATTATTTATGTACTCTAATTACTAGAGCTAGTATTAAAATGTTAGGTTGTCAAACGCACTACAAGATTTTTAGCCAGCTGTGGTTGGTTTCACAAGTATTTAAAAATATAGTGCATTTAAATGGTTAAAATAATTTAAAATGTGCAACCGGACAATAATGCTTTATGTTAATATGGCAATCTTAAAAAAAACAAACAAGCAGCAACAAAAAAAGCATCTTCCCAATCTACACATCTCTCTCACTAGACTGGGTTTGTAGCTTTCTCTTGTTATTCTTTTTTCTTTCTGGATGGCTGATAACAAAACCAAATGAAATGGGGCAACTAATGGCAGTTCCTCTAACAAAGCTGCTTAATTATGTAGAAACATTATATGAAGCCTATACAAGAAGAATAATATGCTCTGAAGTCATTAAACTATTGACAAGAGATTTCAGACAGCAAACAGATGATTACAGAGGTCTCAATACATTTATGCAGACAAGTAACCAGTCTTTCAATAGTTTCATTAAATTCATTAGTATTCAGGGTGGCAGACAATGTAGATGCATGTGCCTTTTCAGAGCTGAATTCGTTATGTTTTTGTACAGTCTTTTGTTCCAGATTTGTTTATACCTGGAATTTACATAGTTTTCTACTGTATATGAAAAGGATTGATAACATACTCTGTGAAAATTTCCTAAATAGATACAGTTTCAAAAAACTGATTGTGTGCATTTACCGAGCATGGTGAAGTAATGTTTAAGATGAGATGGAGTATTAATAATTTTCAAGTAGTTATACAGATTGTTCCCACAGGAAAAGGCTGAGTGACTGTAGGTGACACATGGACCTTCTGCACAGGTCAGTCTTTGTTTTAAAGAAAAACATCTCTCACTCCATCCAGAGCAACAGACCATAAGTTCACAGAGAAAATACTCATCCCAGGAATAAATCACGATACGCATAATTACTAGGAGTTTATTTTTAAAAAACTCGACTGCTACAGCCATTTTAGACCTGGCTCTTAAAGCAACCGTGTTGCTTGGAAAAGTTGTCAGCCATCTTGTTGAAAAACGTGTTTTCTAGGAGGAACAGGATGAGAGACTGAAAAGGAGAAATACAAAGCCTTCTTTCTAGATGGATTTAACAAGGATCTGAGAATTGTTAAAATAAATGTAATATTTGAACATTAAGATTTGAAAATTTATTTTTAAAAGCAAGATTATTATTTAGTATTAATTATTGGGGGTTTTTTTCCCCCTGAATGTTTAAAAGAAGCAAAACCAAGGTAAGAGTTGTCTAAACTGATTTGAAACAACCTCCAAATAACAGGCAAATGTGATGCCTGTTGTAGGCTGTGGGAATAATGAAATATGTATTTTACGGATACATGAGCAGAGCCCAGCGATAGGACAAAGGCAAGACTGTTTTACTCGTCTAAGAGAGGTATGATGCAAAGACCTATAAAAGCACAGAACATGCCTGCGGCTGTGCACTACTTGCATAGACATGACAAAGGAGCAGATGAACCCATAATTCCCAATGAGGAAGGTTCAAAATCTGTCTAGAAATTGGGGGGCAAATGTTAATATCAACAGGGAGCAAAACTGTAGGGGAACTACAATATGTGAGGTATTCTTGTTCAGAAAATCTCTGTTTCACAACCAAAAGACTTCCCAAAGTAATAGTTACATGAAATTCCCGTCTGCTGTCGAGCAGTACTCCTTCCCTCACCAGCACCACCTCGGTGGTGGTTGGCAGACGCATTTGGGGAGCAGGATTCTTTTATGGCCTGCCAAAGATGCCTGCAGTGTTGGAGAGGGTGCCCGTCCCCTGAGGACATGTCTTAGGAAGCACTTTCTAGATCCTGTTGATGTTTTTGAGGATGGATAAGAGGACCTCCCCACTCCAAACTGCAGGTGCCCTGTAGCTTGTGGCAGTGGCTGTGTAACAGCACCAGGTCTGTGACACTCCTGCTGAAGCCACCATTACACAGACACGGCCTCCATCCCCTGGAACACCCCGATGAGAAGCCAAGCTGGCAGCAGAGGCAGGAAGGGGCCGGGGAGGTGGGATTCAGTGAGTGGAGGGGAAGGAGGTGCAGCGTTGATGCTCTGGGCTGCAGGCAGGAGGAAGTGGAAGTGCAATTAGCATTTGATGAGTTGGGAGGCAGGTTTGCCATTTCACTACTTCAACATCGTGTTTGTGTACAGAGTGCAATTCTGTAAGAGACATATCAGCATAGATCCATGGACAGTGTTTAAAAGTAGGATTATGCTTTTAGTCTGTAGAATCTGTTTCCATGGCAATCCCCATGTTGTCTCCTTGAATAGGTTTAACAATACAGGATTAACCTCATCTTTATTCAGCGTAAATCTAAAGAAAGGAATAATAAAAAAACGACATTACTGTGTAGCAAGTTGCATTAAGTTTCCACTCAAGGGAGAAAACCAACAGATTATTAGTAGTTTGAAAAAAAAAAACTTCCATTCATCATCATGGATTTTTAGGAGAGACCCGTGGGATACTGAAGCCTGTTGCTCTGTCGATGTTAAACCCAAAGGTAAAAGTTCAAGTGGTGGCTGGATTACAGAGTTGCTGTATGTACGTCCAGGTCACAAGTTCACTCCTGTCTGTAAATGCGCCAAAAACAAGCAGCACTGGCTACGCATTAGCACAAAAACAGGCGGCCCTGGGTGCCACTTCAAACACTGCCCTGAAAAGCTACAGAGATTGTCTTGATGGTAATAACGTGCTGTAAGCAGTCATTCCTGATCCAAGGATAACTACCTGCTCAAATTCTACTCAAAAAATGTTATTTTAAAAGATTGCGTAGGCTTTGACCTAAATTAGCAACATAAAATGACAAATACAAATAACGTCATTAGGTTGTCATTAGTTAGATTTGACATCTAGGCAGACAAGGAGAACACAGCTAGGGGAGCACAAACAGGTAATTTTGAAAATCTTTCCAAACTGGGGAAAAAGTACCACTTGAGGTTCCGATAGAAAACCGCCGAGGTTCCCGTTTTACCCACCAGATGGAGCTTATGTGAAACAAACAGGCGGAGAAGCTGCGTAATCACCGCACAAAGAGGGGTTTGGGGCGCGGAGGGAGCACGAGGGGGGGAAAGCCAGAAGGTTCTGGCCCAGACAGGATCAAGCAGAGGGAGGGCAGGCACTGTTCAGGCTATATGCACAACAAAAAAATGGAAGAACAAATCTATAAAAAGCCAACTGATTTAGACCTTGAGAAATACAGAGGAGGGGGGGGAAAAAGACAAAAGGAGTCCTTAGTGTTAAAAATGCACCTGTTAGTTCCAGCTGGTGTGAGAAGGACTGAGATTTTGCTGCAAAACCACCAACCCTGTGTATAAGTAACCTGTTGTACCTCCAAATGCATCAATTTGATTTTATGAA